CAAAAAAAAAAAAAAAAAAAAAAAAAAAAAAAAACCACAAGATGAGTTCATCTTGTGTTGGCCAGCTACTCCAGGACAAGGGCCTCCCTGGGGTTGTGATTAACACACCCAATGACACTTTCCCTTTACCAGTGGGTATCAAGTGCAGATAGCTTCTTGGTTAGGGATGTGACCCTGTGTCTACCTCACCCTCTCAGTGGACCCTGTCTGGCTTGAAGCTGAGCAGGTCTGGCGCATGTTGCCACAGTCTTTATGAGCTCACATGTGTATTGGTCCCATATGTGTATTGTGTCTGGAAGGCATTGCTTCCTTAGAGTTAGCCAACTGTTTATTTTGATTTTAATTTAGAGTAACTTAGACTTCACGTGTCCCATTTCAGTTCCCCCCCAGGGTGGCCAGTGACCAGGTTTCTCGGGGACCACTGACCTTTTCCTCTGCGCTCTGTGGTTCCATTTGGAATGACTTTGATTTCACCGCTCTGATCTGTACTGCTTGCTGCATTTTATAGTCATCATCTTTGTTTATATCATCTTTTATTTGATTTAAATCCATATATTTTATATATTAACCAATTTAGAGTATTTCTCATATTAAAATACTTCAATGTACTAATTCTCTGAATTTAAGGAATCCACTTGGCTTGTTTCTCTAATTTCAAACATTAAGACAAGAGAAGTGCAGCATTCAGTTGAGTTCTGCATTTGAAAATTCAGTTTTAGGAGAACAAATACTTCTAGAATTGCAGGTAAGGAATCAACAGGCCGGAGGTTGAACTAATCATGTTGACGTGGTTTATCACTTTGTTTATCGCTGTTACTAATCTACCCTTTGATGTACAAACTAGGCAGACTGAAAACTCTAGTTTACAGGATGACTAAGAGGTGAAGTGCATCCACTCGCTCTCTTTATCCATGGATGTTTATCTGCTGTTTACTGCTCATCCTTCATGTCTTGAGTCTTTTGCTGAGCAGCGTGCGCTGATCTGAGCATACACCGTTTCTCTTTCTGCTGTGGTTTTCCCTGGACTCCGTGGTGCCATGGTTGGGCTGTTCCACGTGGACTTCCTGCAAAAAACAGGCCCACAAAACTCTGGTGGATGTCCCCCTCTGCTATCAGCCAACCCCCTTCGTCTGACTTAACAGGACACCCTCACCCCTAAGAAAACCCCAGGCATTTGAAAGACGATGGAGGCATGGATTCCGAGACTCTGGACAAAATTTTATGCCCGCACAGCAACTCGACTGACTGGCTTCAGGGTGCAACTCCCTGCTGCGAACTCTTGTTTGTTCAAGCTGGTCAGTGAGTGCGGAGTGAATCCATTTTGCAACCATTATTGTGACCCAGATTTGATAAACTATTCCTGCCCTTTCAATAATAATGGGTCCCTTGGCTGGTTTGTGCTGTGTGAGGAGACAGAGGGTGTCTTGTTAGAAATCATTTGCTCCCCTTCAAACACCCCAATGTTTTTTTTTTTTTTTTTAAACCATGAAAAGGACTTTGCTGACTGCGCTGGGTGTGCAGGCAGGCCCTGGGCACTGAATGTTCCCTTGCCATCTGAGCTATAAACAAATAACAAATTATGCAACAAAGCCTCTCAAGGTTTTGCTTTTCTGTTTCCAGGCCCCGGGTGCTCTTTCTCACACCATGGGCAGCTCGGGAAGAAAACGGAAAAAGCTTTCTGCTGGAAACGCATCAAGAGCAGAAACTAGGCCACTCGGTGCCAGTGATTCCCCGGGGCTTCTGGCTGCTGTGGAAGCTTCCACGTAGCTCATTTCAGAACCAGTTCTTGGTGTTCAGAGCTAGGCTGCTAAGGCCTGTGTAGATGGCGAAGGGCATTGTGGGAACTGAACAGCATCATGGGAACCAGAGGCCATTGCAGGCGGCTTTCTGAGCAAGCAGGAGAAAGCTCAGAGCAGGTTAGTCTCTCCCCGTTTTTGAAATGAAATCTTTATAGGCCAGAAGAGGGAGGTCCTTTGTTTTTATTTTATGTGAGAATAAACCTGTGAGAATGGTAATTTGGTTTCATTTCTTGCAGACGATACACCATTGGCTCTAGGAACTGAATTGTGCTCTCAGAATTGCAGTGATAACCTTCGTTTAGCAAGGCTGCTTTTGTTAATAGTCATGGTGCATTAAACAGAGCCATCCCTTAGTCCCCTAGTGCTCTAAGCTTTTTCCCGGAAAAAAAGGGGGCCACCGCTTACCTTTGTTCTGCAAACTGTATTCTCAGAGATCACCCCATCACTCTTGGTTTCCGTGACTTCTTCTAACACTAAATCAAAGAAGATACAGAGTTTGGCCAGCATAATTAAAAATAGTGTCTAGGAATATCCTTAGGAAGGAAGGACTTGAGAGGCAGTGGTAACGCGCTTAACAAATGTTACTATTCCAATTGCTGGCTTGCGTCTTTTCAACCTTCTTTTATTGCTATTAGTTCACGTGTATGGGTGTTTTGCTTGTGTGTATGTTTGTGCACCAAGTATGTGCCTGGTGCCCTCCGAAGCCAGAGGGTGATGGATCCTTTGGAGTTGGTGTTACAGATCGTTATAAACCACTGGCTGGGTGTTGGAAATTGAACCCCGGTCTTTTGGTAGAGCAGTGACCACTCTTAACTGCTGAGCCACCTCTCTAGGTCTAGTTTATAATTTGATTTTAGTTTTTCGCTAAAACTAAATTTTATTTAGTGATTATTAATTTGTTTAGGGACATGGCACTGAGATTGTTTTACCTGTGTCTGGTTCACATAGTCAAGTTCGTCTGGGCTGCTAGTAGTATCACTTAGTTCAGTCTGAGTAGGCTCAGACTTGGTAACAGGGTGTTCTACTCTGTACTCTTCTACCTGATGCTGTGGGACCACAGTACACACCAGTTGGTGAGGATGTTTGACAGCGTTGAGTATGAGCATGTTCTGAGTCAAAGGAGAGACCCTACTATGAACAGCAGGATGATATAGAAGTTTCCAAACATTGCTGATCTACGATGTGTTGACTTGTGACTTCTCATACTATTTTAACCCCAATGGTTGGGAATTGAGCAGAGAGGCTGAATACATATCTATATAATATGGGTAAAACTAAACGACAATAAAAATTGGCTTACTATTTCAATAGTTCTAGGATTTCAACACTGTTTTACAGTGATTATTTACTTCCAATGCAATTTACACTTATAACAGAAATAAATTAGTTTAGTTCTAGAATATGAAAGAACAGAAGATAAAATGCCCACGGTGGGTCAGAGGTCTAGATGATCAATGCGTTCTCGAGGTAAACAAACAGGTTGAAACCATTTTGACATTTGAGGATTACTTAAACAAAAATAATTCAAAGTGAAATGATTCAGCATATGGCCAAAATTTGTTCATCTATACCTTGTGATTTTTATTAAAAAAACATTCCAGATCTCTTGTCTCCTTGACTTGACTATATTTGAACTGGGGTCTTTGTGCCAATCCAGGCTGACCTTGAGTCCCTTGTCCTCATGTCTCGTCACCTGAATGTTAGCTTGGCTTGTGGATGGGCCCTCCCAGAGCAGACTGATGCGACCTTATCTCAATGGCTCAGTGTGAAACCATGCAGTTTGAGCCCAGTGCAGACACATAGTTTGAAAAGCCTACTTATTGTCCACAGGGAAGAGAAATGGTTAAAGCAGGGCGAGCTGAGCGTGATGGTGTGCACCTCTAATCCCAACAACTCACAAGGCTGAGGCAGGAAGATCCTGACTCTAAGGCTAGCCTTGGCTACACAGCGAGACCTTATCTAAAAAGCAAAAACAACAAACACCCTTTCACAATTAACCAAACAAGCGATAGCAGCAATGTGCTAATTTACTAAAAACTTATTTGGAGTTGTGTGAATATATAAATGGGAATGTTTGATTTAACTAAGGTCTACATAGTCTACTTCTGCAGTTAACCTGATTCTAGTTTCAAGAGGAAGTTATCCATTTTATATTTTTCCTTGTGTCATGATCCTGCTGAACAGGAGGGCAGGGCATTGTAGAGCATGGGAAAGAAGGGAGAAGCATCTTTAAGATAGTGACCAACCTGTTAAGATGCCATCAAGGTGGTCCACCATGAACTTTGCATCTTCTTCTGTAAAGCACATGGGTGGCTTGATTTTGAGCACATTCCTGTAGGGGCCATCGGCACTGAGAAGCACCCCTTCCTCCTTCATCCTAATCAGTGCAGGAAAGGACCATGAGCATATGCAGTGGGGGTGAAGGGCAGTGTGCACATGCAGTGGGGGATGAGGGGCAGTGAGCACGTGCAGTGGGGATGAGGAGCAGTGAGCACGTGCAGTGAGGATGACGGGCAGTGAGCACATGCAGTGAGGATGGGGGCAGTGAGCACATGCAGTGGGGATGGGGGCAGTGAGCACGTGCAGTGGGGATGAGGGGTCATGAATTTACTTATAAATGACATGCTGGGCTTCGGCTGTTGCAGGCGTCCTTTTCTCATGGTCCTTCACCAAATCAATGCCAATAAAAAGGCCAACACCTCTGAAGAAGAGGAAAAAGAGTCCATGTGTCCTCCCTGAGCCCCGCACTGTCACCAAATGACATTTAATGTCAAACTGAGTTGTGACATCAAGTGGAAACGCAGCTGATTTTAACTAGCTCAAGATGCCACGAGTAGGGCTGGGGAGATGGCTCAGAGGTTAAGAGCACTGGCTGCTCTTCCAGAGGTACTGAGTTCAATTCCCAGCAACCACATGGTGGCTCACAACCATCTGTAATGAGATCTGGTGCCCTCTTCCTGACTGTAGGCATCCAAGCAGACAGAATACTGTATACATAATAAATAAATAAATCTTTAAAAAAA